ATTTAATAAAATTGAATATGTAGTTTTAAAACCAGTAACAAAGAAAAGCCCAGGTCCTGATGGGTTCACTGCTGAATTCTACCAGAAATGTAGAGAAGATCTAATGTCGTTACTTCTAAAACACTTCAGTGAAATTGAAAGGGAAGCAATTCTCCCTAACACATTTCTGGAGATAATATTATACTGATACCAAAACCAGAGAAGGATCCAACCAAAAAGAGAACTACAGACCAGCCTCCCTAAAGAATCAGATGCAAAAATCCTGACAAACAGAATGAAGCAAATCATCAAGAAAATTATGCACCATGACCAAGGAGGATTCATCACAGGAGTGCAGGGATGATTCAATATACCCAAATCAATAAATGTAGAATATCATATCAACAGAGTCAAAACAAATATCACATAATAATCTCAATAGATGCTGAAAAACCTTTGATAAAGTCCAACACTCATTCGTAATAAAAACCCTACAGAAAATTGGAATAGATGGTCTCTATTTCAATCTAATAAAAGCCATATATGACAAACTAATAGTTAATATCAAATTAAACGATCAAAAACTGAAAGATTTTACTTTAAAATCAAGAACAAGATGATGTACACTATCACCACTTCTTTTTAATATAGTTCTGGAAACATTAGCCAGAGGAATTAGACAAGAGAAAGAAATAAAAGGAATAAAGACAGAAAAGGAAGAAATTAAATTATTATTTGCAGATGGCATGATCCTCTACATAAAAGACCCCAAACTCCATGAAAAAACTTCTACATTTAATAATCAAATATAGTCATGTAGGTGGACACAAAGTCAACAATCGAAAATCAGTAGCATTTCTTTTTTATCAGTAGCATTTCTGTACACAAACAACAAACTCACCTAGAGAGAAATTAGGGAAACCATACCTTTCAGAGTAGCATTAAAAAAGAGAAAGAAATACCTAGGAATCAATCTAAAAAGGAAGTAAAAGTTCTGCATGTTGAAAACTACAGCACTTCAAAAATGGAGATTAAAGAGGATATCATAAAATAGAAAGGATATCCCTTGTTCTTGGGCAGGAAGAGCCAACATAGTAAAAATGGCCATACTCCCAATATTATTATGCAGACTTAATATGATTCCAATCAAAATACCAATAGCATCACTCACAGAATTAAAGAAAACAATCCTAAAATTTATTGGAACCAGAAGAGACCTATAATAGCAAAAACAGTTCTAATCAATAAAAGCAAGGCAGGGGGCATCACAATCATTGACTTAAAATTACACTATAACATTACTGTAATAAAAATAGCATGGTACCTGCAATAAAAACAGATCTAAGGGACAAAGGAACAGATTAGAAGATGTAAAAACAACTCTAAACACACTCAGCCACATTATCTTCCAAAAAAGTGTCAAACTCCATCACTGGAAGAAAGTTAGCCCCTTTGATATATGGTGCAAGAAAACCTTGCTTTCCACATGTCAAAGACTAAAACTGGACCCACATCTATCACCATGCACAAAAGTAAAATCAAATGCATCAAAGATTTGAATACTAAAACAGAAACACTATTTTAATTGTCTCTGCTGGAAAAGAGAACAGGTAGATGTCTTGAGGACGTAGGTGTAGGAAAAAATTTTATGAACAAAACCCTAATCACACAGAAAATAATACAGAGAATCTACAAATGGGATCTCATCTCATAAAAAAGCTTTTGTACCCCAAAAGAAATCACCCAAAAGTGTGAAGAGACAGCCCACAGAGTTGAAAAAATGTTTTTCTAGCTGTTCCTCAGACAAAGGACTAATATTTAGAATATATATATAAAACAAATCAAAAAATCAAATTTAAAGACCCAATCCACTATTGAACATCTGAAGTTTCTCAGGTGAAAAGATACAAATGGTATATAGATATATGAAAAAAATATTCATCATCACTGCTTATTGAAGATATGCAAATTAAAACATTGCTGAGATTCTATCTCTCTCCAGAAAGAATCATTATTAACAAGAAATCACCAATAACAAATGCTGGTGGGGGTGTGGGGATAAAGGAACCCTTATCATTGTTGGTGGGAATGTTGATTGGTCCAAACTAAGTTCCCTCTTCTTATCATCTCTTTCATTTTCCCTTCCCTCATTTCTCCTTCCCAGATCTAAATTTTCAGAGAAATACTGTGCTTGGCTCACTGGGCCTCCTGTTATGAGTGAACAATAGAAGGGGTCTGCTTGGGTGTATGCAGTCATCTAGAAAATGTAGGAAGCCATATCTATCTTTCAAAGGAGTCTGGAGAAATAAATTGGCATTGTGCTAGGTTGTGCTCTCAACCATCAGGGAAAAAATACCTAACCTGAATAAAATCTCTGTTTCAGAACAAACAGACGTGAAAGATACAAAAAGCCAAAGATAGAAAATTGAGCATGTGTAGAAGCTAAGAGAACTGGAAAAACAGCATGAGGATCAAATTTGTCCCTCACAATAACAATTTCTACAGTGATTAAGAAAGAAATAGCTGCTTTCTTGATGAGGCAGCTATTCATGAAGGAGCCATATAATTTGATCCAATTCAAATATATTACATTTAAAATATTACTCAAATCCTGGTATAGTATTATTAACTAGTATGTCAAAATGAAGATGAATGGAAGGTAATTTTCACTCGTTAGTAACTGCTAACTTCTAGTGAACTAGTTTTCAATCTAAACACCCACACACTATTCTTTTAAGAGACTATTTAAAACTTTTATTGAAAAATCTACATGAATTCACCAGTCTATGGTTTCTAGAATGAAAATATTTATCTTAAAAAAAGAAAGAGAACACATTCATATTTCCAATCTTCCAGAAGGTTTCAACATTCACATGACTCCATGAGGATAAATCAATAAGTTGTGATCCTCTCCAGAATTTTTTTCCCTGGGAAGTACCTCGTCTGGTCCAAGAAAAATGAACTATTTTTAAGCAACCATCTGCTCTTATGTTATCTGGGGTTTTATCTTCATTTTATCTACATTTTTACTCCTGTTTAAAGACCATTTGCTTTGATATAGAAATTGAAAGAGAAAAGGTTTCAGTGGTTTCCTCCAACAGTTTCCCGTACTCTGTATCCTTCTCAAGAAATAGCTACAAATAAAATTTCAATTTCTACTTGAGGCACTGTTAATTCTTTAAAAAGTGTCACTTTTCATCTTTACGACATTGTGTACAGGCAAACACACTGGTATGGGGTGAGCCGCATCTGCAAGCTCCTTGCAAAGTTGCATGCAAGTGGAGAAGAGATTCAAACAAAACTGTTAAGTGGGGAACACTAGGGAAGGGGTGTAGGAAGCACAAAATTGGGTACAGAAATATGCTTGCAGTGTTATATTCTAGCCAGCTGGAATTCTGACATGACTTGAAAGCTACCTAGAGTATGCTTCATGGTTATAAGCTTGCAGCAGAAAATTTGCTTTCCTTCATTTAAAACTTTGCAACCTCTGTAAAAATGTATTTTCAATTAATGCTCAGAATTAAGTGAACATAGCTGTAACTACTTCTAGAAGTATTATGTAATCAAATGCTGCAAAAACTCATGATCACTCCTTAAGCTACTGCATCATCATCAAATTTATTTCCCTCTACTTTCTTATAAAAGCACAGGCTTCATTCAAACACATTTCTCAGTCTGCTGAAATTGAACATCCTCATTCCGGTTTCTATACATTTACTTCTCCTTTGTAACTCTTTTTTTCTTATATACTATATTATTCATGTGCATCCAATCCATCCTTCAAAAAACTCTACATGTTAACCTTCTACATAAATCATCCTCCAAGGACTCTTCATCTAAACATTATCTCTCTCATTACACTCACCCAATATACCCCATACTTAGTACTCTGCTATATACTCTTCTTAATTCCTTATCCCTAAACCGCACTTCTTAAGCTTTTGCTATATAAGCACATCATGTTTATAAATTTATAAATGTGTACTCATTATCAAATAATTCCTTAATTACTCCATGAATGTATTTATTTATTCACAAGTAGACAGACAATTACAGTGGCAAGGACTGGATACCTTTTCTGGCATATTTATTGTAACAACAACAATAAAAGAAAAAGATCTAGGCTACATGTGAAGAAGAATATAAAGTTGACAATAATTTTCCTCCTCATATTATATCTTTACTATTGTATAAAAATAGACTGCTTGGAAAAATATTAGCTGCAAAATAAACCCCTGGCCTTATAAATAAGAAGCAGTGAATATTCCAAAGGTGTGCCCATAGTGTAATGATATAATTAGTTGTAAAACTGGAGCCTAGAATAAAAAACTGAAAAAAATATTCTCTTGCTATTTAAATAATAGCAAAAGTAAAATACATAGATTATTCTGAGGAGTGTGCAATTTGAGCAGATAAACTATAAATCTTCTTCCTACACGTATTTGAACTTTTGTGAACCCATGAAGATTTCGACAGATAGAGTTAAAATCTGATCCTTCCAGAGAGATGTTTTAAGCATTAGACAAGTGCTCTCTCACTCATGAAAATCTGTTTTCAGGTACCTAGCAAAACAAACTTAATGCATCTAGGAAACTGAAGTACAGTAATAAATAAGAACCCACAGTGTGTAATATTCAGTTCTGAGAGGAATAATTATCTTTTGCAAATAATTTTGTGAAGACATGTACAATTTTAAGAATTTCTATCAGTTTTATATTATGCAGATTTTTTTCCAGTTCTCAATTTTAACAAGCAAAGCAGGAGCAATATACAAAATATTAGTGCATAACATGAGAAATAAGACAAGAAAACAAACCTACAACCCACAAACCATGCGAGCATGAGTGTATATCAGAAGCTGAATAATTGAAATAATATATCTGTATGTGCAACAGTGCATAAGTATCTATGCACTGAAACGGTACTATCACTAAGAGAACAGATTCCATCTTTTAAGAGAACTTAGAAGACAAACAAACAAATGAATCATGGTAAATCATGCCACATGGACAGGAGCTCACCTTTAACTTTATTCTTTGAAGCAGCAGCTGGTACCAAGGAAAGGTTGCACAAGAAGAAGAAACAAATATATTAGTTGTTAGAATATTTAGCAAGAAAACAGAGATATTATAGTTAACATGACAGAACTAAAACTGAAAAGAATACATTCAGAATTATATAATCAACACATGTTATAGCAATTGGATCGATGACAATTGTTATTATATTGTTAGTAGATGATTGAAATTCTGGAATAAGAGTAAGTTAGGAGCCAGAGAGTGTAGCATCTAAATACCTCTAGTCACCAAATCCCTTTTAGTCTTTATCTAGATCTTTCTTAATTTTAAATCTTAATTAATATCAAAGATACTCATATGTGAATTAAATATATTTAATACTGCTTAGCAATTAAAGTATAACCTGCAGAGTGTGAATAAATTACAAAAGTATGTCATATCCATCTATTGAATATGCTTTCCTCTATGTCAGAGACTGAGGTTGAGCCATTACTATCGTTTCCTCCTAACGATGACAATTTCATGAAGTTTTATTGTCCATGCCTCTAAATGTGGAAAAGAAAACTCAGAAAGTACTACTTGCCTATTGAAGGTGGAACAACAAACAGGATGTGATCCTAAGTGCATCCAATACCAAAATGCGCACACCCAGCTTCCACCACAAAACGGTGCTGGGACTGAGGCCTTGAGCCACTAGGCTGAAAACATCTTCAACAAAGCCCAACCCCAATCATGGGATTTGTTACGCTCCAGCTCTTTTCTTTCTTTGTATTTTTTGTGGTTCTGGGGATTGAACTAAGGCCCTGTGCATGCTAGGCATGCAGTCTACCCGTGAGCCACATCCCCACCCCAGCTCTTTTGACAATTGATGGATCACGTATCTATGAAACTTGAAAACTTCATTACCCTGATTGGCATAATTCCGTTAAAAAGCAAAAATTTAATCTTATTAATATCTAGTGGTAAATACTATTTGAGGCAGAAGCAAATTTAATGAAGAAATTAAATTAGTTAACCCTACAGCACAGTGACTCAAAGGATGCCTTCTAGTCCAAATGTATCATTAGGCACCAGGAAACATGTTTGAGGTAGTATACAGTACTTCGATTAGGTTGTCAAATATAAAGATTGAAAGATGAGGAGCTTTTACGGTTTTGTTTGTTTTTGTTTCTCTCTCAAATGCTGTTAAAGATGTAGCAATCCATGTCCTAACAGAGAAATACACAGTCTCTAATTCAGTCGCCTGACCTTTAGTGAAATTCATTTTAGATGTTAGATCTAGTACTCATGATGTAGTTATGGAAACTTTTCATTTACGCTTCATTCTACCAGCCTATTTAGACTTTAGAAAAGTTTCAAGAACGTTTATCTAAAGGACAGGCTACTTACTGCAAGTTTCATTTTCAATCATGTTCTAACACACTGTCTTAACATTTCATTTTATTTAAAATAGTAAATATTTTCTGACAGAAATAATATGAGAAAATTATTTCGGGAAACCTTGATGAGGTCTCTGTTTTAAACTGGCTCCAGCTGTTGGTTCCACAACTTTGAAATGGAGGTCCATGGTTGGAGAATGAGAAAGCTAATAGTACTCTTGTGAAATTAAAAAAAATCAAAGATCCTAATATTAACTATCAGCTCTTTTGTTATATTTTACTGATTATTCATGCAATTCATAAAATTAATAGAACATTAGTCATTTACCACATGATATCAAATATAAAATTTTTTTTACTTTAAAGACAAAAGAATAAAAACAAAAAAAAAGCAAAGACAAAAGCAAAACAACACAAAAACTAAAAAAATGACACAGAATTTCAAAACAAGAGGATAGGAAATCAGCAATGGTTGTTGTATTACTTATTGTTATCTTCAAAGTAGTTGCTCAGATTACCAGATAGAGGTATGCAAAATTGGTCAAAAAAATTAAACGCTAACTGGTGAAATAGAAAATATTTACATTTACTTTTTTGAAGAGATTTACTTTGTTTTAATCAATTAAAGCGTTTTGCTTCATTGCTTTACATTAAAACATTAGAAGTAACATAGAGAAGTAGATAATACTCCTCTCACTGTCAGCTTCTGAGATAACCAATGTTAATAGATTGCATTAACAAAACTAACAATATTGTCAATTTTTAGTGGGAAATGTTAAGAAAATTTATTTTGTCGATAGTATTTGTGAACAAGATCTTACAATGCGTATTATTTTCCAGTGTTCTTTCTCCACATTTTCCAGGTGAGTAGAGCTCCAAGTCATTCATTTAACAATTGACTGTTTTTAATAGTTTATTTGAGGTATGAGACTTTTTCTGATTATAGGATCTTTGCAATATTTACTTCTACTAACAACTTTGCAATACACATTTATATAGAATAACTTCTACACACTATAATGATTTTTTATTTCTATGGAATAAATTTGCAGGTTGCTTTAATAGTTCTGTACAGAAAACGATTGATAAAATGAAAACCTTAAACACTGCAGATGGAAGGGTTGGAAATATTTGAAAAGGAAATGTGCAAGTGTATTTAATGCTCCAAAATAAGAGGAAACTAGAATAAAGTAAAAAGAAATAGAGAATCAGAAAGGACAGAATCTAATATTCCAAAAGTTTATTAAGTTAGAAACTTCTTAGATGGTTTAAGTCACAAACTTTTCCATTTAACTTTCCTATTTGTTTTTAATTTAACTTTTAATTCCTTTGTAGAATTTTAGAACAGTTAAAAATTTCAAACCTCAGGAAATATTTTGAGCACATATGATTTTTTTTGTACTGTATTATTCTGCTAACAAAATCATCTATATTTCAAAGAAATTATTCACATCTGTCAATACATGAATTTTTTTATGTGAAGAGAAATCTCATGTCAAACTGAAGTTCATCATTTAAAACATTTTTGCATGAGTTCAAAGCAAATTTGCCAAAACCTTTAGAATTTTTGAGACAATACTAATTAGCAGCATTTGTTATATAACAGATACAGCCAATCTTTTTAAAGAATTCATTTTTGATTTAAAATAATGAAATAAAAATAGAAAAAGCAAATGTTTACCATTTTCAGTAGAATAGAGATATGTTATGAAAAGTTTTCAAGCACTAACTAAAGGAAGAGGATTTTATTCTTAGATTCTTGGGCAAGTACCAAAATTAAATAGAAAGAAAAACAAAAGCTCTATGCCTGTCTCTCTGTGTGTGTTCAGGCAGCTAATACTAGAATAGCCTGGTTAATATAATTGGAAAGAGGCCAGGCTACTGCCTTGTTAGCCCAATTATAATTCTCTACATTTTCAATAAAAGAAGCCAAGATGACAGCAATACTGTCATAAATGTCATGTTCAATACTTGTAATATTTTCCATTGTCAGCACAGTCCAATTATAAGTCAATTGTAAAGTGCACATTGTACACTACTCAAAAGCAACAGAAAATTACCTTAAAAATGCAATTTAACTGTTCATAGTTAAAATGAAAAGGGGAAAATTAGAGATATTTTGACCAAAAGAAAGTTTTAGATACATCAACACTTGCTCATCTTTACAATAAATTAGCAAGTTGTGACAATAAGTTTGCAGTTGTTTGCACATTTATTTAAAGCATTAGAACTTTTAACATTAAATTTATAAATGAAAATGATTATAATAATATGAAAGTTATACATTTAATTTTGAAGGAATATCACATAAATAAATATTGTCTTAACTTTTTATAAGTGAATGCTCAATAGTTCATGTCATTCATTATATTAATAAGAATAATCTCTAAATTTCTGATACAATCAAAAAGTAAGCACTAAATTCATTCATTTTGTTGCTATGTGATTAACTAATCCCATCAAAATAGGCAAATCTTCCTATTTGGAACAGGTACCCCTAAATGTTTTTGGAAGAACTAGAGACTGAAATATTATTCCTCAAAATGAATTCTAGGAACTGTAAATAGAACATAGGGAATAGGTTAAGAAAATATTTTTAAAATTTTCTTATCTCAATTTTACCTGCCTCGTCACATTTTCCTTGTTTTTTGTCTTATTTTCATAGTTAGTGTTACATATTTTATCAATATGAGCAATACATATATAATGTAGAAGTTGGTAGATTAAATGGTGCCTTAGAAGTGTTTACTGAGAAGTTATTTACTAATGAAACATTTCATTAACAAAGACATTACCAATATTCAGAGTTAGCTAATGCAAAAGCACTGTGACTCTTTTTACTTAAGATTATACACACATATGTATATATAGTCTTACTGAAATACTTTGATAGTTTTGATTTGTGTTGTCTGTTACTTCCATGTACAAACTAACCAATAAGATACCATGTTTCTTTTTTTTAAAGAGAAAAAAATAAAAAGATACAGAATTTCAAGACAAGATAATAGGAGATTAACAATGGTTAATATATGCACATTGATATCTTCAAACTAGTT